CCTTCAGTCCGCAGGCTGACACTCTATCCACTGAGCCAAACTGGTTTCGACTATATTTTTATTTTAATATAAAGATATAATGTTGCATCTAGCATATTTTAAGAATTGAGCTAAACAAAACCTGATTATTGTGGAGCAAAGGCGAGTAAATGACCACGGGAGTCCAGACCAAATTAAAATTTAGGGAGCCTTTATTAGCCGGTTGGTGACCGCTCTTTCTCCACACAGGAAGTCCAGAGAGCAGCCCGGATCCTTTGTGCAAGACCACTTTTAAGCACATTTACTACACCTTGTTTTTGCAGAGCAAGCAATTTAAGTCAAAACAGTTTTTCTTAAGTAATGTCAGGATCATGTTATTGATGACCATGTTATTTACAGGATCATTCTGTTCCCAAGAAAGCTGACAGTGATCAATGAAAGAAGGCCTATGTGTTGGGTGTTGGGTAGGAGCCATGGGACCTTATCTCAAGGCCTGCCCTGTTGTCAGCACTAACAACTCTATCTGGGGCATAGTCGACGGCCTCTCTGGAATGGGATTAGTCTTACTTTTTGAGGTGCAGTTGGGAGTCAAGGCCAAGTCGACTAGGAAGAGCATGCTCTAAAATTCCCACTCTCTAGCAATTATAACTCTGTATACTACTGCCTATCGGCCTCTTACAGAACAAGTTTGTTGGAACCCTATTATAGACGATAATGGTCTTCTGAATTTGAGAACTGTCACTTCTATCACTGTCTAACCTAATGCTTTGGGTGTTGTCTAGATCTAGAATTCTTGTTTCTGGCAAAGTTAATATGTCAGTATTATAGTTTCTTTAGAATCAAAAGGATTTGCTCTCACAATTGTTCCTTGCTACTTGGAGCATGTGATAGTTTGTTTTTTTAATGTCATTATCTTAGTTTAAAAATATATAATTTTACATAATAAGAGAGTAATATGCAAATTAACCATCACCCCACTATACCCACAAGCCAATCAGAGCGAGTATGCAAATAAACCCAACCAAGATAGCTACAGCAACAGAGAGCAGGAGGGAGGTTTGGGTTTCCCAAGCAACAGAGGAAGCCAAACTTTCCACCTTCCCTAGCCGGCCTAGTCCTCCACTCAAGGCTATAAAGTTTCATTTATAGAAGGTAAACAAATCCAAACAGAAATGGCTGCTGCCAAGGAGTGAGCAGGAGGCTTGGCTCCACTCCAGGCTACAAAGTTTCAATTGTAGAAGGTAAATAAATTCCAGATACCAGGGCCTCCGCTTGGGTCGCCAGGGGACGTGACTGGCCTGCAAACCACCATGAATATTCAACCAGCAATAAATCTGTATGACTTATTCTGTTAGTATATAATACCTCCCCCCAATGTTCCCTACTTGGTTCGTCAGAGTACAGTGTACTTAGTGTACTTTTGTGTATTTTATACATGATTTGGATTAATTTCTCCAAAATGAACTTATCCACATTAAAACTAACACTTTTTCCTGCCATTCATACATTGTAAATTTTTTATTATTTTCAAAGCTCTTCATTATTGGAAGAACTTAATATTATCTATATATCATAATGTTAAAACCAGTCTTTGTAGCACTTCAATATTTATACTTCCCTGTTTGGGTTAAACCCTGTTATGCCTTCTCATTCCTTTAAGATTTAGTTCAATTCTATATTCTCAGTGAGGCCTTATATAACTGTCCCAGCCTTCATTGATCCTTCCTGTTCTTCAAGTAGTTATCTGTTTTGTTCTTTTTGCTCTTAATTGTGCTACTTTTTAAAAGGGAAGGTACTGTCTTTGGCCCATAACACAGATAAACACCCACAAAGTTTTTATGGTCTAGCTACTGGAAAAAAGAGAAACACATATATTATTACTAGAGGCCCAGTGCACGAAATTCGTGCACGGGGTGGTGGGATGTCCCTCAGCCCAGCCTGCACTCTCCCCAATTTGGGATCCCTCGAGGGATGTTAAACTGTCCAGTCCCACTGGGTGTATAAGTGAAATAAAACTTCTTGTAGTAATGGTCAAAGCTAGGTGATACATGGGATTCATTATACTAGTTTGTTAGCCTTTGTGCTTGAAATTATTTTTTAAGTCTTTTTAATGAATGTAAAAATAGAGTGGTAAGTAACTAAGAATAGTATCAAGGAGAAATAATTAATTATAGTTAAATGTGGCATGTAACAGCAAGCTTTAATAATAATGAGCCTAGTTGAGCTAATAATCACCAATAAAGATATTGAGGCATTGACAGTGGAAGCATAAGTGCAATACCAGGCATAAAGCAGAGGCCAAGTAAGTATCTCTTGACTGAATAAGCTAGTAAGAGCTCACAGATAAACTAGCTGTATTGGATAGACAACTAGTTGGATAATTTTAAAGGCTGTACCTTTATGAAAACTTTAGTTACCAATCATCACACTTATTGTTTCATGAATAATAAAACAAATTCTAAGCATTTCACATCAATGTTTTTAATCTTCATGATAGTCTCATGGGAGAGGTATTATTTATCCATTGTATAGATGAGAAAACAGAGGCAGAGAGATCTCAGTCACATAGCTGCAGGTAAAGGAACTAAGCTATGATTTGATCTCAGGCAGACATGCTCCAGAGTCATATTTTTAATCCCAATCTTATACAGCCTCTCTTATAATAAATGTCATAAGATTATGCTATTTTGTTTACACATGAATTATTTTAGGCAAATTGGACTTGTCTAAGACATAGGTATTCTCTGAATCCCCCACCTCTCAGTTCAGTGTTCACTTTTCATTGAGTTAAATTATTCTAGGCCATTGAGACTTTGTTTCTGTCTGTTAGCTAACCTGTTTGGACTACAGTGGAAAGGTATACTCTGTTGGGGTAACTTGCTCAGAGTTGAGACCTTACTTGTAACTTGGCATGATGACTTGGAAAAGTGACTCTGTAAGATACTACTTTAGATAGTTTAAACAGAGAATTAGATTGGACACAGTTGAAAGTATAAATTGAAAATTAGATTCAGCTATTACTGTTGATAAAACCAGTATAATTGTGAATGGTTTTGATAAAATGAAGTATGGGGCTTGTTTTGTAGACTGAATGTAGATGTGAAGGACTGACAATAGTCTTTTATCTAAAAGTTTTCTCAATTTTCTTTGATTAGAAGGTGATCCCAGAAGAGCTTGGCAGATTCTTAAACAATGTTTTCTTTTGGATAATGAAGTATCTATAGAAACCTTGAGGACATCTTTAGCCATTAGGATAACTGCTCTAATTTTAAGTAAACAACCTCATATTCAAGCAAATATTCTGATTTGAATATTTACATGTGACTTGAAAATATAGAGATAATTGACTTTGTGCTGTTAATTTCTGCTCTCAGTCAGATTAAATGGGTTTTTCTTTGTTGTGAAAATAAAACTTTTTTCAGGGAAAAACTTAATCTAAACTTAATTTGACTTCCTCCTTCATATCTGCATTACTTTGTTTCCCTTCTTAAATGGGACTAGATTAACTCCAATTTTTAAATGTGTGTTCTAACAAGTAATATCAATAAAATGTTGGTAAACATTTTTAAGCTAAAATGCCATATATTATTTAAAAAATTTTTGTCATTAACTTTGAAATTGATATGTACATTTGTCACTTTTAATTAAAAATCTTCATAAAATCTTCTAAAACATTTTAGATAAAAGGCTATTATCAGTCCTTCACATCTACATTTAGTCTACAAAACAAGCCCCGTACTTCATTTTATCAAAACTATTCACAATTATACTGGTTTTATCAACAGTCAGTCACATAGTTCATCCTTAAACAATCTATTTACCAACCTTGATTTATCATTTACTTAGTAATTTGATGATCCTAAATTCTAATTTCATTGAGTTCACTGAGAATTACTACTATTCTGCTTTCTTTCAGTAAAGCTTTAGAGCTGGAAAGGAGATGAATGAATAGTTTTCTCAAGTTTAGTGCATGAACTTGAATATCTAAGCTTTGAGTTGTTACCTTAATTTGTTCTTACAGTGCCTTTTGTTAAAAACCTGGATTGTCTACTATATTCTAAATATTTTAGGTTTTTTTGGTCCATACTGTCAAATTTTGATATTATGGCAGCACTTACCAATTTGTAGATTCAGCAGTGAAGTCCATGACATAGTATTTTGATAGTCTACCACAAATTTGAATAATTTTATATTTGTGATGTAGAAGTCAGTTTTTGTTGTTGTTGTTTGTTTTTAGCTGACAAAAGCTTAACTAATCATTTAGCAAAGGTATAAATTCTTGGCTCTCCCTCAAAATGTTAGATCAAAGAATATGAAAAAATATGTAAGAAAAGAAGGACTTGGGACAAATACAGAGAGTAATAGCATTTGTCTAAAATAAATTTAAGGAAATATATTAGTTAAAAGCACAAATAATCAGTGAAATAGTGGGTGAAAATTTCTCTTTCCTAAAAAGTCAAATCTGATTGAAAGAGCATTCTGATAGTCAAGAAAGTTAGATGAAAAAGACCTACATTTAGTCTCAGCCCATTTTATAATTTTAAAATTACAAGAGTAAGCCCTGGCTGTTGTGTTCAGTGGTTAGAACATTGGCCCATGCTCCAAAAGGTCAAAGGTTTGATCCCTGATCAAGGACATAGGTTTGATCCCTGGCCCCAATTGGGGTGCATATGGGAGGCAAGTAATCAATGTGTCTCCCTCTCCTCTCTTCTTTCTTCCTCCCTCTCTACCTTCCACACTCTAAAAAATCAGTGGAAAAATATCCTCTGGTGAGGATTCATAAAAAACACAGTAAGATAAAAGAAAACTCCAAGAGTAAAAAGACAACCCAACAGGGGGAAATAAGCTGCCTAAGAAGGATAGTCATCCACTGGCATTGGATTTCTTAGCAGCAGCAGTGGATGTTAGAAAACATGTGCTTGACTGGGAATCGAACCGGGGACATCTTGGTACTACATGGGTCCATCCTTAACCATTGAGCACACTGTCCAGAATTTACTCTTGTATTGTCTATAAATTATTGTATTATTTTCCATACAAGCGATTATAAACCTACTTTTGCCCCATCCTTAATATATATGATAGAAGAAAATCTTTATTTTGAATAAAGATTTAAATTGAATCCAGAGGTATTTTCAACTATTTAAAAAGATAGCTCTCCCAAAGGTATCCTTATAAAAAGTAGATGAATAATATGTCTTTCAACTTGACAGAACTTAAGAAAATGAGTCACAAGATGAGTCAAGAGAGTGAGGTTTGTTTTTATTCCCCTTGTCCATCTGTTTTAAAGGGAGTATGATACCAAGCAGTAGGGGAAAAAATCTTTGATGAAATTTGATGTCAGAAGTTGGAATTTGTTCTTTAATATTTAACTTGTACTAAGTGAAGATCTGAAACATTTAATGATGCTGCCAAGATGGATTTGATCTGTTTTAGAGATTTGTGCCTAATTTTTAGGAGATTTGTAAATGCTATTTCAAGACTTGAGACCTGCTTCATACTTTAGAATATGTTTAGTTCTTTAATACTTCTAGTCCGCAGTGCTGGCAAGTGGGAATGCTGATTGACTGCTTCTGTGGCAACAGTAACACCCAAATAAGTCACTCTGTTCCTTCCATCCCTAAAAGAGGTATTTTTATCATTGTTTTTGAAAGCTAGCTTCCTTAGATCTTGGCTTTTAAAAATATTTATGGCATTGCCTTCTAAACTAGCCACTTAAGAATATTTTAATTGTTTAGGTATAGATTCCTTCATTGCCCAGCTAGTCCCAACTAGATAAGAAGTACTGAGTAATGTAGGGTGTCTTACTCGTCATTGTAATCCAGGCAGGAAGGGATGGACTGAAAGGAGGGAATAAATGGGTGGTTGGAGAATAAATAGGTACTGTCTTCTTAAAGAAGCTCAAGGTGAATTTTGGCTGCGTGAAGTATGTGAAAATGGTATGAATAGGTGATTAGATAGAGCTTGTTCCCTTCAGGTTATACCTCAGATTCTTTTTAAAAGGCCAGTTATTGGGGCGGGCGAGGTGGGGGAGGGGCGGACACCGCGGCAGCTGATCAGGCGGCCTCAGGCTCCGAACGTGGCAGCTACGGTGGTCGGAGTGAGTCAACTGCGGCCGCGTGCGTCATGGACTCCGACCCCAATGAGTATGAGCTCAACGGTAACCTGCAGCTGGATTCGCTCGACGCCCCTCCAGACGCCATGCCCCGTAGGCCCCTCAACATGAACAATTATGCTAATAAGAAGAGCGTAGCAGAGGGCATGCTGGACGTCGCTCTGCTGATGGCCAACGCCTCGCAGCTGAATACCGTCATCACGGAGGGCCCCGACTTGCGCTTCTATGTCACCTTCGTGGTCCTCATCTCCATCTCTCTCGTGCTGGAGATCACTTTGGTCGTGCTGCTCATCTTCCTGGTCAAGACCAACCTCAACAACCCAGCCAAGCATGCCCAGTTGATATTCTTCAACAACATGGCCACTGGCCTTGTCTTCATCATTGTTGTGGTCAACATCTTCATCACTGCCTTTGGCATCTAGCACTTGTAGTGGACCTGGGGCCCTGGCAGTAGGTCTCAGAAGCCCTGGACTGTGCCGGGCCATAGCCACACACTCCAGAAACTGCCTTGGGGCCCACCTGCCTCTTTGCTGCACACCCTGAAAATGCCAGTCAGGACTAGCCTGGAGAACAGTCTGGCCTGTTGTGTGTGTGTGTCCTGCTCCATCCTTGGCTCCTCCTCATCTGAAGCAGGGGCAGCGAGGCCCCAGAGGCAGAGCTATAGATCCCCAAGCAGGGCCATGGCCAACATAGACACGCAACAGGTTTGAGGGGGTGCAGTTAGGGACTAGGGCCAGCCTTAGTCCTGGGATATTTCTAGAAGGACAGGATATGTCCCTCCTCAGCCAACCTTTCTGCTGGGGGACCTGTTGCCCCTGCCTTTCCTGACTTGGTACAATGGACTACCAGCTCCTGTGGCACTGCTGTGGCCATGGACCATTCGCACACCTTCCACCAGCCCCACTTTTCTAAGCACAAATGGCCAATAAAATGAATGCTTCTCCTGTGCAGCTTCTAGCACCAATTTCCTTCCTGCACCTGCCTGAGGCCCTGCCTGTACTGATCTCTCCTCCGGTCAGGGCAGTCATGGGGACATGGTTGACACCTCGGGGCCTTCTCCAGGATCAGGAACTTGAGTGTCTCCTTGGCAACTTGGCATCTCCAGTCAGGTTTCCAGGTAGAGACCAGGGTCTTGGGTCTCCATTGTCCCAGTGTCTTTATTTTTATAGAACGGTTTAAAGAGCTCCCGTAGCCCTTGCTGGTTTGATTCAGTGAATAGAGCCTGTGGACCAAAGGGTTCTGGGTTTGATTCTGGTCAAGGACACGTACTTTGGTTGCAAGTTTATCCCCAGCCCAAGCCCTGGTTGAGGCTACTACAGGAAGCAACCAATAGATATATTTCTCTCACATCAATATTTCTCTGTCTTTCCCTCTCTCTCTCCATCTCTTTCTAAAAATTAATGGGAAAAATGCCGAAACCGGTGGGGCTCAGTGGATAGAGCGTCAGCCTGTGGACTTAAGGGTCCCGGGTTCGATTCCGGTCAAGGGCATGTGCCTCGGTTGCGGGCGCATCCCCAGTGGGAGGTGTGCAGGAGGCAGCTGGTCGATGTTTCTCTCTCATCGATGTTTCTGGCTCTCTATCCCTCTCCCTTCCTCTCTAAAAAAATCAATTAAAAAAAAAATTAATGGGAAAATACCCTCGTGTGAGGACACACACACACACACACACACACACACACACAAAGAGCTCTCATAGCCCAGGTCATGATCCGGGTCATTTGCTCTATTGGAAACCTTCCCGCAGGTGTTTTCCCTCATCCAACTGGGGCTCCAGTGAGTGATACAAACACACTGTGCTACCAACAACTTTAGCTGCAGCCTGGACTGCGGCTCAGTTGGTAGGAGCATAGTCCCGATATACCAAGGTTGCAGATTGAATTTCAGGTCAGGTACATACTAGGCTGTAAATTAAATCCCCAGTGGGGAGAGTATGTAAGGCAACCGATTGGTGTTTCTCTCTCTTCCTCCCTCCCTCTCAAAATCAATAAACACATACCCACTGGTGAGGATTGAAAAAAATAAACTTCAGTTGAAAAAAGAAAAAAAACAACAAAAAAGGTCAGTTGTTGTCCCACATGTGGCTAAATGGTTCAGTATTGCTCTTATCAGGATGTCATGGTTCAGTTCCCAGTCAGGGCACATTCTAGGGTTGCGATCCCCAGTAGGGGGCGTGCAGAAGGTAGCCAATCAGTGATTATCATCATTGATGTTTCTCTTCTCCCTCTCGCTTCCTCTCTGAAATCAATAAAAACATTTATTAAAAAATAAAATAGTCAAATGGTTGAAAACAAAACAAAAAAAACCACACAGTTATTGTCAGGTTAAAAGGTCATCACTGTCATGTTGCTTTGCCTTTGAAGGTTCAAACTACTCATCCAGAACAGGTATCAACTAGTTTACAATATTTCATCAGATAGTTAAGCCAGAAGAAAGTGGGTAGATTTTAAATGTTGCTTTTTAAGGACTTTTGCCAGAGTGTGTGTTAATAATACTCACAACAGGATATACAGTTAATAATACTGCCTTCCTCCTTTTTAATTAGAAAAATTGATAATGGTTTCATAAATGCAGAATTCAAGGAAGGACATCCCATCAAAGGATTTATAAGGAAATGGAGGCATAGAGTTTATCCTGTCAAAGAATTGTGCCAAGAGCATTGTAGCTAAAGTAAAGGTAATGGAGAAGAGAGAGATGAAAATTTAAATTGAAGCTAAATATTGTCAAAGACTTAAAACTTTTTACCCTGTTTGTATTAGGAAGCCACTAGAAATTTTTAAGCACTAGCAATTGGGCTGAATATAACCTTTAGAAGAGTGCTATTGACAGTGTAAAAAGGATGGATTGAGCCTATATATATTTATTTGATGGTTTATGATTAATTTTTCTTGATATTAATAATATTCCTTATCAGGACTATGGAATACTGTCTTCTGGGTTACTGGTGTTCTCCAGATAATCTATATATATAAAAGCCAAATATACAAATTGTCTCTAGGGGAGTTAGACCAGGAAACCAACTGCTCGCTATGACATGCACTGATCATCAGGGGGCGGCATGGAACGAAGGAAGGCCCCAGCTGGCAGCCAGTAGCCAGGGCAGGGGGGCCCTAGCCAGCAGTGAAAGGCTCTGATCAGCCTTGATCACCACTCAGGCCTAAGGAACCCTACCTGTGCATAAATTTCATGCACCGGCCTCTAGTTAAAACAATCCTTCAAGGACTTCATTTTCAGTTTTATAATGTAAATTGTTATTCATGTCCCAATCTCAGTAAATGAAATCTCACAGATAGTTTTCATAAATATATGGCACTGCATTCCTACCTTTCTTCCCCCCCCCCCTTCTTTCCTTCCCAGTAAAAAATAAAATACTAACATACATTACCTGTGGCATTTGTACTACAGTTGTTCACTTAGTAGCCTTAAACTTCAGCTTGTGCTTTCTATTTTGAGACACAGGTTTTTGGGATCTGCTTCAGCAGAAACTAATTTTGTAAAAATTAAGTAATGAACCCAGGTTGTTAATTTTGGGAGGAGAGGTAGTAAATAAGAGAAACTGTCTTTGCAGCTTGTTCATTTGCGCCCTTGTTTCTACCAGATAACGATGTTGAAAAGCCTTGGAGTTCTTGAAGCCACTAAAGATGCTGTTACTTTCTCTTGAGAGAGATATTTGTTGTTTTCACCTTTTTTCTTAGAGTTTTCACATTTTACTTAGACTTTCTCTTTAATTTTAGAGAACTTGTTCCTGATCCCTTTATAATATGTCAAAAAACAAAAAACAAAAAACACCTATGAACCAGTGATTCTATGCTCTACTGACATCATTCCTCTTCTTTACCAACTGCATATGAACTTATTTATATTGGAGTAGCATCTTGTTATACAATGTATACCTTAGTAGTACATATAATTATTGTTCTTACTCCACTTTAACATATTTTTAGATTTTAAAAATACATATATTACCTCTGAAGATGCTATATATATTTGAACTTTCAAAAACAGTTTGGAATCTCAGTCTCTAATATTGTGGATCATAATACATGTATACATAATACATATTATGACTGAAAAGAGGGGCATTACCTGATCATGTTAGGACCTTAATCTTGGACTTTCAGCCTCCAGACCTGTGAGAGATGAGATTCTATGGTTTATAATCACCCACCTTTCCCCTAATACATAATACATGACCATAATACTCATGGGCAGCATTTTTAAGTGGTGATTGTATTTAAAGTTTTATATAATTGTATTGTTTCTATTAAGCAAAGATCAAAATTATATGAATTAGTTTTGTTTTTTAAAGGAATGAAAATAATGTTATTTAGAAGACAGTGAAGATACCTTTTTCAAGAATGGATATGATAAAAGACCTGATACTGAATTGTGATAGTACTATTTTTTGTAAAAAAAATAAAGCAAAGCTGTGTATTTACAAAGGAAATCTCTGAAAAATTCTGTGCTCTACTCAGTGTTGTCAGGAAACTGGCAACATTGCCTCCAGGAAGGGGATTGGACATCTATAGGGTGGGATGGAAGGGAGGCTTTGAAGTTTGAACCATGAATAATCCTATATAATAAAAGTCTAATAGGCTTAGGCCGTCCGGTCTGCCATTCAACCAACCAAAGCTTAATATGCTAGTGATACGATAAGGCCGCTCAACTGTTCATTATGATGTGCACTGACCATCGAAGTGTGTACAGTCAACTGGTTGACCAGTCACTATGACGTTCCCTGAGCACCAGGGAAAAGATGCTCTGACCAGTAGGTTAGCTTCCTGCTGGGGTCTAGCCAATTGGGACTGATTGAGGCGAACCAGACCTGCCTTGGGGCCCTCAGCCTGGCCTGTGCCCTCTCACAATCCAGGCTGAGGGACACACACACCCCTTCCCCAGAGGGCATGAACTTTATGCACCGGGCCTCTAGTTAGAAATAAAGTGTATCTGGGAGATAATAGATCAACTGAAGGACTTGTATACATGCATATAAGTACAACCAATGGACATAAAGCTCTGGGGAGGGAGGGGATGTGTGGGAGGGAGGGAGGGGGGAAAAATAAAATAAAATTAAAAAAATAAATAAATAAAAGAGGGGAAAAAAAGAAATAGAGTGTATCTTATATGTAGGAACCACCTGACTGCCATATTCAGCTTAGCATTGTCAATCCTATTTAGTAATATATTGGTGTACTCAGCATGTAGTTGGCTGTCTATTATGGCAGGTGCAGAGAAGCAGAAGGGTAACCAAATAAGAATATTTATGATGTTCTTTCTCTGTTAGAAGGAGCTAGTAAACAGTATATGTAGTTCTTTTAATTAAATTGGAAATTAAAGTATTGGTTAACTGCTGGATCTCCCGCCAGCCCTAAAATCATAACATCATTTTGTGAGTCATGCTATTATTTTTGTTTACTTTTAGTTGATGCTGATGAAATTAAAAGGCTAGGAAAGAGATTTAAGAAGCTTGATTTGGACAATTCTGGTTCTTTGAGTGTGGAAGAGTTCATGTCTCTGCCGGAGTTACAACAGAATCCTTTAGTACAGCGAGTAATAGATATATTTGACACAGATGGGAATGGAGAAGTAGACTTTAAAGGTAAGAAAATGGTTTTTAACACCACAAGTTATATTCTTCAAGTTCTATGTACAAAAATGTTTAAAAACTTTTCTTAAATGTATTTATATTACTGATACTTTTATAATAAAACAGTATGTTGAAATCTCAAAATCTTTGGTATATGAACCGTAATGAACTAAAAATCATTCTTAAAGGATCAAGTTGTTTTTATAAGGTAATTTAAATAATGAGATTTATTATTTTCTTTGTTTTGAGAAAATTAGTCTCAGGTGAGGGAAATTTACCACATTAAAAGCTGCATTTTTTAAACTTTTTTTTTTACAGAAGGGACTTAACACCAAGTCAGCAGTAAAAAATAAACTAGTAATAAGAATATGGATAATTATCATAAAATGATTAATTTAGTTAATCTAGAATTCACAAAGATACTTGGCAGTGCTTTTGCTGTTATTAAAATGATGCATAATTTTATACTTGATTCTATACTTTAAATAAACATTTCATTTCACTGTGTATAATCCTTTTTAAAAGCACCTTTTAATAGTCATGTTAAAAGAAGAAAGAGTAAATAGTTTGTAAATATGTTTTTGAATGTTATACTCTGTGATACTCAGAGAAACTTTAGGTTCAAATTTTTAAAAAAATTAGGAATTACTTGTTGAAATTTCAAGTTTGGCATTTTTCATTTTAAACATTGCTAAGTAATATTTTGTAGCAACAATATATCCTTTTGTGGGTATGTAAGTTTTTTGTATATATGTATTGAGTATGTATTATTCCATATAAAAAGTTGAAACTTC